GGACCCAGCGGCTTAAACTCACACCGGGCGCGTGTGCTTGCGTGCCCAAGATCCCGAGAGGAGAATGGAGGAGAAGGGATTGCAGCGTGGCCATCCCCCCTGGGGGGTGATTTCTCGCTTTCTATCTCTCTGTCTCTCTCTGTCTTTCTGGCGAGCGCACGCAAAAATCTCTCAAAAAAAAAAAAGATTTTATTTATTTTATTTTAATTTGACCAAACAAGGACAGAGTGAGAGAGAAAGATGTAAAGTGAGAAAGCAAGCTGCCAGGTCCAGGACTTGAACTGCGGTCAGCCATGTGGGAGTCCAGTGCCCTTAACCACCACGCCACCTGCTGGCCCTTGTCAGGATTCTTTAGCCACCTGCACATTCTTTGATATTGTTCTTTTTTTTTTTTTTTAAAGAAACAAGGTAGATCATTTTTCAGTAAGATGTTTTGCCTTAAATGAGGCCATGAATGCGCAGGTCCCGTAATTGACACAGGGGCAAGGCAGTCTAAATTTTCAGATGGTTTACATGCCATCGAGGTAAAGGGCCTCTGGAAAATGATACATTTTCACAAAAGAAGCCTAAATTGGAGCTTTGCTCTTCTAGTCCTACCTTCAGTCTCAAACGGCATGTCAGAGGTGAGCGTAGGGATAAGGAGGACCAGAGAGAAGGCAGGCAGAAGAGCAGAGTCCGCCCAGCCGCAGAGGCAGCCACTACATTCCTCCTCTGGACAGTGGAAGATGCTGGAAGGAACTTTTTGTTTAGGCTTTTTGCCATAGAGCACATGCACTCATCAGAGACAGAGAGAGGGAAGATGAGAAATCAGCCCCCTGGAGAAATGGCCACACCACAATCCCTTCTCCTCCACTCTCCTCGTAGGATTTTGGGCACACACGTACACACACGTACACACGTACACACACACACACGTGCCCAGCCTGAGCTTCAAGCCATGGGGTCTGGGACTCAGCCATGTGGGAGGAGTCCAGTGCCTTAAAGACTATGCCATCTGCTGGCCCCAAAAGGTATATTTTCAAAAGGTCTCATAATAATGGAAGAAAATCTAGAAAAAGATCATGGCTCTCCATGGATATCATGCAGACTCAAAACCAGGAACAGAATCAGTCTAAAAACAGCCACACTATAACAGCAGTAACAGCACCTATAAGCAATATAAAAACAATTCTGGGCGTGGGGCCTGGCACCAGACTGCCTGGGTTCAAATTCCTATTCTGCCAAGTACTGGACGTGTGACCGAGAGAAACTTACTTAGTACCTTAAACACAGAATGATCATAGACCCAACAATTCTACTCCTAAATATGTACCCCAAAACACTGAAAACAAAACAAGGGTACTCCCAGCAGTGCTATTCACAATCACCCGAATGCCCACCAAAGCATGGAGAGACAAAGCGTGGTACAGCCCTGACTTAACCCAGCCATAAGAAAGACCCAACTGCTGACACATGCTACAGCATGGACGGTCCGTGGAAATGTTAGGCAGTGAAAGAAGCCAGACACAAAAGGCCACACGTCGTCTGATTCCATTTATAGGCAACTCACATTAGCCAACCAGAGCAAGTAAGTCCATAGAGACAGAAAGCAAATCAGTGGTTGCCAGAGAAAGGGGGGAATGGAGAGTGACTATGGGGGCTTCTCTGGGGGTGCTAATAATGTTCTGCAAGTAGGTAACGGTGATGGTTTCACAACACTGTCACTGTGCTAAATGCCACTGAACAGCATGCTTTAAAAATAGTTAAGTGGTAGGACCAACAGGTGACATGGAGGTTAAGGCACTGGATCCCACATGGCCAACTCCATCGTTCGAGTCCCAGATCCTGACTCTTGAAAATCACACTGGGTGCACATAGGCATGTCCAAAATCCTGAGAGGAAAATGGAAGAGAAGGGATTATAGTGTGGCCATCCCCTCTGGGGGTGATTTCTCACTTTCCCTGCTTTTTTTGTTTGTTGGTTTTTGTTTGTTTGTTTGTTTTAAGACAGGTTTTTGCTATAGGGCACATGTGCTCGCCAGAAAGACAGAGATAGAAAGTGAGAAATCACCCCGGGTGGGGGTGGCCAAGTTGCAATCTCTTCTACTCCATTCTCTAAGGATCTAGGGAACGCACGCACACGCGCCCGGCATGAGTTTAAGCCGCAGAGTCCAGTACTCAAACCATGGTCGACTATGTGGGAGTCCATCTACGTAACCATTACACTGCCTGCTGGTCCCTCTCATTTTCCCTCTCTCTCTCTCTCTCTCTCTCTGGTGAGCACATGCACTCTATAGTAAAAAATAAGTGGTAAATTTACATTATGAATCTTTTTTTTAATTGCCAGAGGACACCAATGTTATATATCTTTGATGACGATTACATTTTTTTAACTCAACTACTTTGTTATCTGTTTCCTCACCTGTAAAATGGAAACCATGTTGAATTTACTTTAAAAAAAAAAAGGGGGGGGTGGAGACAAAGAAACACTTAGAACGGTACCTGACACACAGCGAGTACTTACTGGTGAGAGCACAGCTGCTGTGACTACCATCACGCGCCTGATCTAGGCTAGCACTGTCCACCAGAACTTTCGACAGTGATAGAAATGTTCTACAGTCCGTGCTGTGCGCCAGGGCAGTGCTAGGCACGTGTGACCATAAAAGGTGGCTTAGCTAACTAACGAACTGAATCTCTCATTTTACTGGGCTGTCAGAAAAGTCATGGTGTATTTTTCTATGCAAAAATGTGACATGACTTATCCAACAACCCAGTATTTAATTTTAGTTCATTTCGCATCAGTGGCTAGTGGTTACTAGACAGGACAGTTCTAGATATTCTCGCTCAATTCTCCCAGCAGCTCTATGAACAATATGAAGCTATCATCAACCACGTTTTAAAGATGAAAAAAAGGATAAGTAACTTATCTAAGGCTACAAAACCTGAGCCCAGGACTCTCAGACCCAGAGCAGAAACTGAACACAATTTTGTTAGGCTCCAAAGCCTGTACTCCACTATTCCGAGTTGTTTCTCTCAGGGGAAGGGACAGGATTAGACACAAGAAAAGCCCAGGACTTCCCTTAAGGAAGCTCCAGGAGAACTTCCGAAGCGGGGCTTTGTTGAAACGATGGGCAGAGAAGGCAACTCGGCAGCCAAGAATCCCGGCTAGAAAGACAGTGAACAAGGTTCTTCCAGGGACTGTCCCTCTCATCACCTCCTCGGTCTCTCCCAACATCCACCCGTCTCTGCTGTCTACTTGCCTAGTCGATCCATGGCCTTCTCAGTCTCTCCCTCCTGACCAGAGTGGTCGCCTGCGGCAAGGCCAGCCTGCGGGAAGAAGAAACGATTACCCAGGACGTGGGCATCTGGAGTGTGCCAGGTATTAAGCCACTGCCTCTCAGTTCCAAACTGCCTTCATACTGCCCTTCATGACATGGGGTTGGGACTCTGCAACCCACATTTTTGCTTCGCCTAGACTGGGCACGGCTGGAATGAGTAGGGCCTTCCTTATTCCTGTAGGCACTGCCCTAGCCACACCGCTTCATCCTGCAGGAAGCACGCCTTCCTGGTCAGCCACCGCAGTTTCCAGTGCTGCTGGCACTCGCACAGCCAGCCTCCGCACCCAGCTCTCTTCAGGGGTGTGGGTCCCACGTCTCAGGACTCCAGCACCAGATGGGGCAGCATCCCCTCCTCAAAGGCTGAAATTGCAGCTCCCAGAGCTCTCTTCTAAGCTTTAAAATATTAAATTATCCCTTTGTTCTCTGAGGTTGGTAACTGTTCCCTGCAGTTGCTACCTTCACTTTTTTATTTTTCAGTTACTTAATAGCTTTATATCTAGAAACAACTCTATAAAAATCTGTCTTCTCCCTGACACAGGGAAAAGAGCTTCTTATCAAAACTCCTCTTCAGAGCTGAGCACTGAAGGGAATACTTCTAATGGCACTGGAGACCTTGTTCCCTCTGCTCTCATTACTCCAAACTTCCTGAAACCGTTACCCGCAAGCTCGCTAACAGAACAAGAAACACAGCTTGCATGAGAAGACGCAACTTCAACCCCAGCTCTGCCACCCTCAATTCAGAGTGGGATCTGGACACATCACATCTACCACCATGCCTGGGTATTCGCTGGAAACTGTTAGTGGTGACATTTATAAACACCCAGCAGGAA